AGTGGGGTACCACAAGGTTCCGTCTTAGGCCTAATACTCTTCAACATCTTCATAAATGACTTAGATGAGGGAATAGAAGGGAAACTCAACACATTTGCAGATGACACTGAACTGGCAGGAATAGCCAACACCTCAGAAGACAAGCAAGGGGTCCAAAAGGATCTTGACAGACTTGAACAATGGGCTCTATCCCCAAAAATGGGCCCTATCCAAAACAAGTGAACTTTAATGTGGAGAAAAGCAAGGTTTTACACCTGGGCAGGAAAAGCCAAAGGTATAAGTACAAATTAGGTGAAACGTGGCTCAAAAACAGTAACTGCAAGAGAGACCCTGGATGATCACTTAAATGTGAGCCAGCTGTGTGCAGCAGCCATCAAGAAAGTAAATAGAATCCTTGGTTGTATAGAGACAGAATCAAAATCACATGAACTATTAGTAGGCTTTATAAAACTTTACTGAGACTGTACCTGAAATACTGCATCCAGTTTTGGTCACCACATTATCAAAAAGAGGTTGAGACTTTGGAAAAATTGCAGAGAAGAGCAACTAAGATGATTAAAGGCTTGGAGATTAAAACAGATGAAGAACAGTTGCAGGAACTGGGTATGGCCAGTCTAGAGAAAAAAAGGACCAGGGGTGACGTGATAGCAATCTTCCAGTATTTGAGGGCTGCCACAAAGAAGAGGGGGTCAACTTATTTTCCAAGGCACCTGAAGGCAGGGCAGAAACAATGGGTGAAACTAATCAAGGAAAGAAGCAACCTGGAATAAAGAAGAAACTTCCTAAAAATAAGAACAATGAACGAGTGGAACAGTTTCCTTCAGAAGTTGTGGCTGCTTCATCACTGGAGGGTTTTAAGAAGAGACTGGACAGCCACTTGTCTGAAATGGTATAGGGTGTCATGCTTGAGCAGGGGGTTGGACTGGATGACCTCCAAGATCCCTTCCAGCTCTATTCTGAATTGAATTGAAATTAGCAGCCAGTGGTCATTGTGGCTATGGTGCCTTGCATCTACTAGTGGGGTTATCCACTGTTTGATCTGGGAACAGTCTGTATTGTAATGTGTTGTGGCCCCGATTCCCGAGCCTATGCTGTCAGAGGAAGAGGACCTGGAAGATGAGGGGGAGGAACTGGGAATGCCTTCCTCCCCAGGACCTTCCTCCCTTCAGGTTCCATCAGACAACCGAGAGGAACAGCCTGAGATTAATCAGGAGGAAGGCATGTCGGAGCGGCCCCTGACAAGGAGTGAAGAGGAAGAATGTTGGCTTGATCCTAAGCAGCATCGTAGGGAGAAACGTGAGCAGCAACGTAGGAGGCGTGGGAGGGTCAGAGAGTGAGCTGAGTCATTGAGCCACACCCCACAGGGGATAAGGGTTAGGGTTAGGGCAGGGGAAGAACCAATGGTTGGAAACTAATCCAAGAGAGAAGCAACTTTATAATGCCGGGGAACAGAAGTTGCCTTCAGACCCTTGATATTGCTGGGAAGAGCTGTCAATCTTTCTGCCCCATTACCAAAACAATTCCTTCCATTTTTGCACACCGTCAAGGATCCTAATGTCCTAATGTCTCCATTTATTCGTACCTATTTCCTGTATTCTTACTCATGTTTGTACTTACACCTATTATCTTGTAAGCGATTGACAAATCAAATAAATAAATAAATAGAGAAGCCGCAGCTGTTTATATCTTCCGCCCTTCCGAGAATCACAACAAAGTAGGTTGAGCTCTACTTTGTCAAATGCCTTACTGATATCTAACAATAGTACGTCCACAACATTTTGCTGATTCACTAATTAAACACTTGGTCAAACAATGAAATAAGATTTGTTTGCCATGATCTTGTCAAAGCAATGTTGGCTTCTGGTTAACTGCAAAAGAGACCCTGGATGGGTTCAGGCGAGAGAAGAAATCTCCCCCAACCCACCAAGGGTCAATTCAGTGACCAATCAGGATTACTGATGTGGCCACTTTCCCAGGAATGGGTGGGGATGATGGAATGGGGAAACCATTTTCATGTCCTTTGCTTCATGCACTGCCTGGGGGGGCCACTGTACTTCTTTCCCCCGACTTACACACCTGCATAATTTCACTTCTGTTGGTGCTGCACCAACCTCAGAGCCCGAAACCACCAAGAGAGGCTCCTAAAGAAGGATGAAAGGGCAACAGATGGAGCCAGATGTTCATCTCCAGAGCTTCTGAGAACAGCAGTGGTTAGCAACTGCATGGAAGTTAACTGTCAGGGTTCCGACAATTGCCCTAATTAAATCATGAGCCAAGCTTCAAAAGAATCCAAAAGATTTATTAGGAGCAACATGTCCAGCATTAACCTGTATGAAGCCAATTCTGAGACACGTAATTTACTACCACCTATGACCCTGTTCCCCCCAGGCCCCTGGATGTGTCATAGATCAGATTCTCCTACGAAAGGGAGGGTGGGAGAGAAAGAAGAAGAGGAAGGGCAAGGAATGGGAACTGAAAAGGGGAGGGGAGAATAAAGGGGGAGAGAGAAAGGGAGGGAAGGAGAGGGGAGGGTAGTGGAAGGGAGGGGTGGGCAGAGAAGAGAGGAGAGGAGAGAAAGAAGAAAGGAATGGGAAAGAGAAGGTGAGGGGAGGAGTGGGAGGGGAGAGAAGGGAAGGGGAGAAGATGGAAGGGAGGGGGTGATAAAGGAGAGGGGAGGGGAGAGAAGAGGAAGGAGGGAGAGGAGAGCGGAGGGCAGGGGGAAGTGGGGGTGGGCAAGGGAGAGGAGAGAGGGTGGGAGAGAAAGAAGGGGAGGAAGGGAAAGGAACGGGAACTGAAAAGGGGAGGGGGGAGGGAAGGGGGAAGGTCCAATCGAAAGGAAAGACAGGCGGGGGGGGGGGGGGGAGAGCGGTTCGGGTGGAAAGTCACCATCCCAGGAACAAACACGGATCTTTAACCAGACGCCTAAGAGCCTCACTATCCGCCCGTCCAATCCCTTCCTTCAACACCGCCGTAGCTGTAACTCAGAGAGCGACCGAAAGCCACAAGCAGATTCCGCCCAAAGTGGCCCAGAAGCCTCCGGATGAGGGGATCGCCCGCAGGGGCTTCGCAAGGACGGTGAAGCGAGGGGGCATCGCGGTGGCTGCCTCCACGCAACGGGCACTGCTGGATGGTGACCGCTGAGTGTGATGGGCAGCATCTGGCTAGGACACCCCCTCCCCTCCCCTCTCCCCTCCCCTCCCCTCTGCCCTGGCCCGGGAGAAATGGAAAGCGAAAGCGCTGGCTTCTCTCTTTCCCGGAGGAGCCGCACTAAGTTTGGAGAACATCGGCGGAGCTGGAAAGAGCCGCATGGCTGGAGGGTGATGTCGCCCAGTTGGACGCCCCTCTTGGTCCTGGGAGCGGCGCTGGGGGCCTTGGTGCTGGAGGTGGGGACGGCTGCGGTGAGTTCCTGGCGGAGGGGGAGGAAGCACAACGGGAAGAGGAGCGTTTGGGGTTCGTCTCTCTCTTTCTCCCCTCTCTCCTTCAAGCTCCATTGCCCGGGTCTTAAACAAATGAGACAATGAATCAGTGGAATTGCCTCCAGAGGCTGTGAACGCTCCCACACTGGGAAGAGGTTGGACAACCGTTTGTCTGAAAGGGTAGAGGGGCTCCTGCTTGGACAAGACCTCCAAGGTCTCTTGCAACTCTGTCCTCTTCTGCCTTCTTTACCCCAGGTTTCACTGAGTTTCATCTATTTTTGTTTTTAGTATTTCGTTATATTTATGAGAAAATAAGGCCTCAAAGCAAAAAAGAGAGAAGGTTCGGAGTGCCTCCTCTCTCCTGCCCGAACAAAGGACGGAGCAGCCTGCACTGGTCCTAAAACAAGCCCCAATTGCTCTTTGGAAGGAGAGATCCTGACGCTGAAGCTCCAATCCTTTGGCCCCCTAAGGAGAAGAGACAAGGACTTTTGGGGGAAAGGCCAAAGGAGGAGGGGTCGGCAGAGGAGGGGAGGGTTAGGGACATGAGTTTGGGCAAAGGAGACAGTGGAGGATGGGAGGGGGGAGAAGCTTGGGGTGCTGTGGTCCATGGGGGCCGCGGAGAGTCAGAAACAACTTAGCTGAATAACCAAAAGGAAGCTTCTAGGTAAGGCAGGCAGTGATGTCTTCTGCAGTCAACCTTTTCAATTAGGGAGCTTCCCCCAAATCAGGGGTCTTCCAACTTGACAGCTTTAAGACTTGGGGACTTCAACTCCCAGCATTCCTCCTCCAGTCATGTTAGCTCAGGAATTCTGGGAGTTGAAGTCCACAAGTCTTGAACTTGCCAAGTTGGAAGACAAGCCTTGCCTTAAATCATAGCTTCCCTTTGAAGGCAGAGCCATGAATTGATATTGTGCTGCTCAGTTTTTTTTTTTTTTTTGGGGGGGGGGGGGGGAGCCGTAGTATATCCAAAGGCTGGCATGCTGTGTGGTTCATGAGGCTGCAAAGAGTCCGAGGCGACTGAAGGACAACCGCCTGCACTAGAGCTGCACCCTGGTCAGCAACCCTCCTGGTCTCCTGAAAAAGCCCTGGGGGAAAATGGCAATTGGGGAGGAGCCAGTTGTCCAACTCACTGGTTACTTTCCATGTGAATTGGGCCCCACTGACTCTCCCCACAGTTACCAAGGGGGTTGCGATCTGGGTCACACCCACCAGCAGCTGGCTGGGAACCCAGAAACCCAGAGGAGCTGCACCCTAACCAGATGTGGGCTCTGTAGCTGTTTCCAGGGTCAGCCAAGGGATGCTGGTTTAAAGTTTAAAGGCGGGTTTGAGCTTCAAGGCATCAATCTTTATATGAAGGGCCGAAAGGGTGTGGCCCATTGGTTGGGTGGGTGGGAGCCTGCTGGATGACCGGATGCTGGAAGGAATGAAGCTGCAGTCCAGAGCCCCTAATTCTGCCCTCTTCCCTCCTCCTCCTCCTCCTCCTCTCCAGGCTCCCTCAGACACTCCCTGTGGTATTTGCACCCGCAAGACTCAAAGCCCAGCCAGAGGCTGCCTCAGCCTTTCATTCAGAGCTACCTGGATGACCAGCCCATCGTCCGCTATGAGAACCTCATCAGGAGGATGGAGCCCCTGGTGCCCTGGATACAGGAGGCGGAGAAGGAGAGGCTCCAGGCTCTCGAGTGGGTCTTTGGGATTGGCCTGGAGAAGTTATCAAACCTCAGCCATCAGACTGGAGGTGAGCAGAAGCAGTGCCACCTGTGGCCTTCAGTGACAGAAAAGACCACAATGGTGAGGTCTTATTCTGCAGTGGAAACACACACACACACACACACCCTCAATTTTCTTCCTAACTTATAATTTCCCCCTGGCGTGGCTCCACCCAACAAGGGCTAATTGCAATAGTAGATCACTTTCAAGATCACATGAAGTGTTAAGTAACTTGAATGCAAGTTAATTAAAATGCAAAAGTATGAAGATCACATCTGGTGTTACTACTGCACAATAAGGCCACACTTGCGATACTATGTCCAGTTTTAGTCCTAGAAAAAAGAGGCTAAAACATGATGAATGGTTGGGGACCTGGGTATATCTGGTTTAAGAAAGAGAGGGGCTGAGGCTGACATGTAGCAGTCTCCTGTTATTTGAGGGGCTGTCGCAGAAAGAAGGGCATTGAGCTACTCTCCAAAGCAGGGTTCGCCAACCTTTTGGACCTCAAAGACCACCATACTCATAATTTTAAATCCCGCGGGCCAGAGATCCTGGGAAAATCCCCAGAAATGTCTGCAGGAAAATTCCCCACCCCATTTTCCTACCGATCTATCATTCTTTATTTGGGAGAGAGAGAGAGAGACAGCCAGGAGATGAAGAGACCATAAAAATTCCACAGTGAGATGTGTCCTGGGAAACTCTGGAAAAGATCATTCTAAAAAAGGGGTGAGGGGGAATTAACATGTTGGCTCTTTGTTTTACTAAATACACATGAAGATAAGGGGGAGGGGTTTTAAACTCCCCTATCTATCTCTGCATGCCTGAGAGACCTTAGATGCTGCTTTTAACCACTACATGAATTGTCTCATCTCAATAAAGGATTCCTTTTGATACATTTTGATACGTTTTCAGACGTTCATCCTAGTTGATTGAATGGGAAAAGTTCTGTAGCCTGATAGTTTCCTTCCCTAGGAGGGGTGGTAGGTAGACTTTCATGTGTTCAGGGAGAAGAATCTTGGGCCTTTCTCACCACCCCTCGGGGTCTCTTTCAGGGCTTCACTCCTGGCAGGTGATGTGGGGCTGTGAGCTCAGGGAAGACGGGAGCAAAAGAGGGTTTTTGCACTACGGCTACAATGGGATGGACTTCCTCAAGTTTGATGAAGAGATCCTCAGATGGGTGGCAGCTCATCCCCAGGCTGAGAAGGTCAAGGAGAAATGGGAGGACCATCTAGAGTGGACCCAGGGAAGAAAAATCTACCTGGAGGAGACCTGCATTGAGTGGCTGCAGACATACCAGTCCTACAGGAGGGGGACTCTGGAGAAGAGAGGTGAGTGGCCCTTTGGAGCATGTGTCCGTCGGCTCCCCCTCCCCCATATTATTTCTGTCTTAAATAGGCAAGGGAGCAGCCTGGGGGCTCACTGGTTAAGATGCTGGGCTTGTCTCAACAGTCCAGGTTCAAGATCTGAGCACCACATGACGTGGGGCCGAGTTCCCATTCTCCTCCCACTCCTGCCAAGCTAGCAGTTCAAAAGCCTGCAAGTGGGAATCAATGGGCACACACAGCGCTCTGTGATGTCATGCTGGCCACAAGAGCACAGAAATTTCTCAGGACAGCATTGGCTCCCTTGAAAAGGGGGGAACACTGCCCCCTAGTGGCAGCAATGAGTAGCAGAGTAAAATCCAACTCCTTTTACCTTTACCTTTTGCATAGCCCTGACCCCATTTCAGGTCACCACAGAAAAAGGTCAGGAAGTATCCCACATCCAATTACAGAAGAAAAATAATCCTCAATGCCCCCCAAAATAAGTACTTCAAAGATGAAAATAACTGAACAATATATTCATGCTGGAAGACCCAGTTCTAGTTCCCTGGAAAAGAAAGATTGCAAAGCAGAAGAAACTCATTCTAACCTCTCGGATTTGAGTCCGAATCAAAATATGAATCTTTTCCCAATTTCTACCTGGGGCAACTTGAACAATTTCAATTCCAAACTACCAATTCAGGCTGGTGGTCAAATTTGGACTAAGCTCCAAGCAGTACAGTTGTTTTGTCAGAATGAGAACTTGACCCAATTTCTATGTACCCCTTTCAAAAATCAATCTCAAGGGCTTCAATGCCTCTAATCATTGAGGGTCCCGGAGGTTCAGGAGAGGAGAGAACCAGAGAGAGGATGCCCAGGTGAGGTCTTCCTACCTATTCAGTCACCTGAAACTCCTCTTTTGCTGTTTCTGCAGAGCCCCCAGTGGGGAAGGTGACCCATAAGGCCATTAATGACCGTCTGGAGGTCCTCATCTGCCAGGCCTTTGGCTTCTACCCCAAGGAGATCCGGGCCACCTGGAGGAGGGACAGAGAGGTCTGCAAGTATGAAGCATTCCATAGGAATGTGGCCCCCAACTCAGATGGGACCTATTATGTCTGGCTGAGCATTAAGATCGACCCCAAGGAGAGGGACCGTTTTCGGTGTCACCTGGAGCACGAGGGCTTGCAGGAGCCCCTGGTCTTGGCCTGGGAGGAGGAAAGAGGTGAGACGGTGAGGGGTTGGACATGCAGAAGTAGATTTTTCACCAGTGTGGGAAAGGTTGGGGAGAAGAAGTCTGGACATGCTTCCCGCTCCCTCTGTTTATCTTCAGGGACACCCAGGAGGGAATCTTATCGGACATGTTTCCTTAACCTGATTGCATGGCCCAGACTGAAGCTCCATCTAACCAATGCCTTGGTTGTGGCTCTTCCTTCTGCCCTTCAAGGCCATTTGCTCTTCCTTCTTCAGCCTTGGTGGGGTTTCCTTCAGGGGGGGGACACTGCCTGGGGGGGTGTCCGTGCAAGAGCTCCACTTCAGGGAACTCAGCATCTCTCTAACCAGAACCATGTTTCTCCTTCTTTAGCTACAGGGTGGGAAATTCTTATTGGAATCGTGGCTGCCGTAATCTTGGGAGCTGGGATTCTCTTCCTGATAAGTAAGTGAAACCAACATATCCACTGACATCCACCCCTGGGTCTTTCTGTGTTGGCTGAGCTGGTATGGATGGCAGAACATCCCCACAAAAAACATTTTGAACAGGAGTCAGAGAGGCAGAAGAAAGTGTGCAGCCATTTTCCCAATTCCTGCATATCTCAGAAGGTTCCACCTTCCTCTTGTCTGGGAGGAAGTCTCTTTGGCCTTAACAGACCATTGAAGTAGACCATCTGAAGTAGAGGAACAGATATCAAGGGCTCCAAAATAAATAAAAAATGTCCCATAAACCACCTGGGACGCCCTAGACAATCTGTAATCCTGCCCTGGAGAAGATCCATAGGCCATCTCACCTGGCAAGAGAGACCTTCAGGGAAGCTCGAAGAGAAGATGGGGACCATGGAGGGAGGGTCCCATGTCCTCTGGCCCCCATTTCAGTCACACCTGGGGACAGAGAAAAAGAGGGTCAGCAGAGGAAGGAGCCTGTCAACTCAGAAAATATTTCTCTGGTCTTTTAGAGTTGCCAACAGAAAGGGAGGAGGGAGCAGTGTAGGAGCTGCAAAAATGAAACTGGATTCCATAAATGTTTTCATAGTTTCCAGGCGACTTAAGTTTCTCCCCGCAAAATTCTAACTGGAGAACATGATTGATGACTTTTGGCTATGGATGTGTCCCATTGGAGAATATGAATTATGAGACACCCAGGGGGTGGGGGAAAACCAGGGTCAAGGGTGACAATTAATGATGTGTCTCAGAGTCAGCACCGGCATGTCCTCTCCTAATAAATAATCTTTGAGCTTTGAAAATCCGGCTAGAGACTCATGATTTAAATGGGGGAAACTACCAGAGCCCTGACAGAGCCATTCTCTCCTCTGCTTTGACTCAGAGCAAGAGACAGGAATGGGAAGGCGGATGTGGGAAGAAAGAGGGACCCTGAATGATGGATGTGTTTTTATACACTTTGGGTTTGGGGGGCCAGGAAATCTAAAGGGCCTGATTCAGGGACACAGTTGGAGCAAGTGAGGTAGAAGTTTAAACAAAGGAAAGTGCATTTTCTATTAGAAGGAAAAGTTGATAAGGATCTTATGCTGAAGCGGATGGGATGCTGAGACCATCAGCTGGATTAAGACGGGATATTTGTATTAAGGTGCAATATTTGTGGTTTCTCACCTCCTGCTTCCCAGAGGAACCTTTGGGCGAAGGCCTCTCATTGGGAAAGGATTAAAAGGCTATCTGAACAGAAGAAACGTGGTCATTTTTTCTGGTTATGCGGTAGCCCCCGAGGCTGCTCCAGTTTAGGTGGGCAAGGGGAGGGAGAGAGCAGGGACAGCCGAGAGAAAATGGGGGAAAGGCTCTGCAGAGGAATGGGGTGGAATGAGAGAGGGGGATGGGGGGAGAGTTGGTAGATTTATTGATTTTTATATCACAATTCCACACTTTTGCTGTTTATAGCAGCCACCGTTTTAGGACTAGCCAAAGGTCTTTGATTTCCTGCAGGACAGCCAGATGCAGACAGAGCAAAATTAGGAAGTAGATCAGGAGGAAGAGGAAGAGGAGGGAAATGCCAATGAAAAACCAGGCCTTCTGGGCCAGAAAGAAAATTTTAGAGAACCAACCAGAGTAAACCAGTGAGTGAAGGAACTGGAGCCCAGGATGGTCTCCTGGCTGAAATTGTGCAAAAGATCAAGTGCCTGTTGGGTGACGTGTATGTTACTCTCAATCCGGTTGTCATGTTGGTTGACATAAAGGCAGCAGGAGGTGGTAAGCGCCTGGCAAAACCCTCCTTGTGAAGTGAGGAGCAGATCGAGGGCCATGAGATGGTCCTGGACAGTCACCCCAACTTGTTCCGTTTCTCCCTGCAGGGCTCTTGGGTGCCTGGATGACGCGGATAGACCTCGTTCCAGTTCAGAAGAGACGTTAATGCCATATGGCTCTCTCCAGTTTTGTCACACACACACCCCAACCCTGGGAAAAGTCTCTTTACAAAGGAATGGAGCCAAGTCCTTTGGAGATGCAGGCAAGGAGATGAGGGCCTCAAGGTCTTGTGAAATGTTACTGCAGACGTGAGACAAGATGTCAGATCTGTGTATTTGCCATTCTTCAATGGAAGAAGAATAAAACCACAGAGGCCAGGCGAACTATGGTACAAGTAATCCTTTTTGGTGTAACCTGAATATATTAAATCTTGTATTGATTCTGTATGATGCACATGATATACAACTGGAGGACTGGAGCCAGATGTCTAGAAACTTGTGACCTCTTGAAGAGATAACAAGATGAGAAGGGACCATAAAAATTCCAGCTCTGGAAGATACTCCCTGGGAACCTCTTCTAAGATACGGTTCCCAGACAAGGGGAGGGGGGAATTAACATTTGCTTTGTTTGACTAAATCCACATCTCAATAAGGGGAGAGATTGTAACTCCCTTTATCTATTCCTGTATGCCTGGAAGCATCTTAGACTCTGCTTTGACTAGTGCTGGGATCACTCCCTTTCAATAAAGAATTCCTTTTGAAATGTTTATTTCCAGAAGTTCATTCTTTTAGGTTGAAGGGGAAAAGTCCAGTGCTTACACAAATCTTGCAGAGATTGGTTTTCAAGGGGAGATTGGACCACATTTTTCCAGAATGGCCTAGGGTCTCCTGTTTGAGCAGGGGGTTGGACTAGAAGACCTCCAAGGTCCCTTCCAACTCTGTTAATCTGTTACACTCCCAGAATGACCTTTGTAAATCTTTGCCCCATGTTGCCAAAACAATTCCTTTTATTTCCCCTTTTTGTTTTCATTCCCCAGGGTCACTTCTCCATGCCCCTTTCTCTGCCTTTTTCTTTTCTTTTCTTTGCTTTTTTTTTTGACTGTTATACTGTTAAGTTTTGAAAAAATAAAAACTGTGCAACAAAAGCTAAAATTTTCAGAGGGCAATATGCTCTTGGGCTTTATATTTGCATTTGGAATTTAGCAACTGGACAAAAGACCGAGATTGCAGCATTGGAGAGAGTTGGAAAGTTAGGGGCCCCTTTCCTGTGTGGATTGAGGGCCTGATTGTATTTCTTGCCTGCGGGTGGATTGCCTGTATTTGCATGGACAAATATAAAGAAATATGGGACTCTCTCAGGGAATTGCATAACTGGTGTCAAAATGAAGTGAAAGAGGTGGTCACAGACTTGTGTTTTATATAAATAAATATATTTATCATCGACATTTATATCAGACAAGATAGTCACATCACTACATCGTGAGGTAAATCGTCAGGTAAGTCACAGAACAGCATACAGAGCAGACATGAGAAAAAGGTGGGAAAAAGGGGAAACTCCCCCTTCTCACCCAGCAACCAGGTGCACACGCCCTGCTGAATGAGGGAAGGGGCTCCTGGGGTACAAGGGTCGCAGGGGCGCCTTGGGGAGGCTGCTGCCCAGAATTGAAGGAGGTCGGGGGTGTGGGGGAGGGTGAAAGGCAAGGACCCTCTTCTCTCCAGAGGGAGCCCCCAAGAGCAGCTCAGAGCCAGGAGGTGACGGGAAGCATCGAGTTGGGCATCAGAGTTGCAAGGAAGCCAAGCAGAGGCAGAAGAACCCAGAGAGAGCAAGCGCGGGTGGCCAGAGAACCTGTGGGGAGTCTGGGTCCCTCTTGGACCTTCAGGCTTGGGCAGCGCCTGGTGCAAGTGACAGGGAGGGGATCTCTTCTTCCCTTTCGTCCCCCCCTCTTGAAAAGAACCTTTGATCTCAACCAATAGATGGATACCCATTTTTTTTAAACAGGAGAAAGGTGGGAGGTCGAAGGGGTTGCATAAGGCAGGGCATGATGCACAGGCATATATGAAGTCCCCTGTGCATCATGCCCTGCCACATACACCAAAACCCTAGCCACTATAGAAAACCCCAGCTACAGAATTATCAGAGAAGCCATAGACATTGAAAAAAGACCTGAAAGCATGAATAGAAGAGATGATTCCACCAGACTGTCAATCATTTGGAAGCCTGCACTCACAAACAAAAAAATCTCCACACTACAAGCCAGGCAAACACCTGGACACAAACAGATCCCCCCTGATACCTCCAGCTCAAGCACACCCCAACCAGGGACCCAGATGAAACCTAGCTTCCTAATAAATGATAGCCGTCCATTTACTCAGAACCAAGCTGCACTAAAAGCCTCCAATACAGGAAACACAACATTGCCAGTCAATCAAGACAAAAAAAAGCCACAAAACTGACAGAAGATATTAGAAACACCAATCAAGCAGAACACAGCAAACTCCAAGACCAATAAACACAGACCAAGACTCCCAACCAATCAGGATGAAGAAAAAAACCATTAGCAGTAGGCTAGCCTCAAGTTTAAAACTGAAACAACTGTAAAAGTCTGACTCACAGACGAACACAATGCAGAAGCCTGATGATGGCAGATGAGATTCTGCCGAAACGTTGCTACAACTTTAAAAGCACAAAGAAAATACCCGAACAAAGCTGAATACCATACATGTAAGTACCTGCGAAAACTTAAGAAAATCTATCTATCTATCTATCTATCTATCTATCTATCTATCTATCTATCTATCTATCTATCATCTATCTATCTATCAGGTTTTCGTGGGTATTTGTAGGTGAATCTTTGGTTATTTGGGTTTTCTCCCGTGTAAAATTGGAAGTATCTAGGCAACATTTCGATGAAGTCTCATTCATCATCTTCAGGCTTGTGTCTTCAGCTTTGTGCTTCTCAGAGTAATGTGAGCTTGCAGCTGCTTCTTCCTTTTAACTGCTAGTGGGGGTGTGCCTTGATTGGGTGGGGGCTTGGCTGTGTTCTGATTGGGTGGGGTGTGTTCTCATTGGTTGGGGGGTTGGCTGTGTTCTGATTGGTTGGGGGGTTGGCTGTGTTCTGATTGGGTGGGGGTGTGTTCTGTTCAGGTGGGGGCTTGGTTGTGCTCAGGTTAGTCTTAATTGCTGGGGGATTTGAGCTGGTGAGCTGTGATCCTGCTGTTTGGCTTCGCGTTCATGGTCGTGCCACATCTTCATGCTGGGCGTCAGTTCGGTTCATGTGTGGGTCGGAGGAGTTTGAGGCGGGTAG